TTGGGAGTAGTCTTGAGCACCGAATTAGGGACACGAGTTCATATAAACTCAACTCTCCATAAAAACCATGCGCCAACATGGGAGTTAACGGGTCATACTTTTTAGAAGACTCCGTAAAGTTAAGCTAGTGGATCCACTTGGTAAAGTTAGCCTCCTATATCACGACTAGGTATAGGATGGTCCTTAGGCAACGTGAGGTAAAACGTTGTATCGTTAGCTTCCTATATCACGACAAGGTATTTGGGAGTAGTCTTGAGCACCGAATTGGGGACACGAGTTCATATTAACTCAACTCTCCATAAGAACCATGCGCCAACATGGGACTTGACGTATCATTCTTTTTAGATGATCACGTAAGATTAGGCTAGTGGATCCACTAAGCAAAAGTAAGGTCCTATATCGATGGCAAGGTATAGGATGGTCCTCGGGCAACGTGAGGTAAAACGTTGTATGAACCACTAAGTTTAATAGTGGTGGTTTGTCGGTTAGAGAAGCTCCCACAGTAGAAAAAGCTTGGTTCCTCGAATAGTTCTGCTTAGCTTTGATGGGGGTATGGGACTTCATTCATACACTGCACAAGTAGACTTTGAGAGGAAACATGGTATTTTTATGACATTATAAATATGATTTTTACGTCATGTTTTAATAGTTTTACAAGCTTTATATATTGCATGTGTCTTATTGCTTTATATACTGAGTTCAGTTATTCTTGAGTTGAACAGAGCCAAGGTAAGTTCTCTTTTGCATCTCTTTTCAAGCTTATGTTGTGGTTTAGCTTTCCAGCTCGCATACTCGTATGTATTGATGCCAGTTGGCCTGCATCTTATGACGATGCAGATACAGGTACCCCGGATCAGCATCCTGCACGTCGTTGATCCAGCTGAGCTCTCCAGAGTCAGTGGTGAGCCTCCTTGCATTCCGGAGGACTCAAGTATTTTGTTCTCTTAGTTTTGTTTTATTAGGATGTTGCAGGGTCTGTCCCAACATCCATCTCAGTATTTTAGAGGCTTCGTAGATAGTCAGTCAGTCAGTCAGTTAGTTTGAGTCTCTCTTTTGTGTATATTTATGTAAATATTCTATTTTGAGACTCGAGTTGCCGTTTTGGCCAGATTTTTATCAGTTGGTTGTTTTATAACCTTTCATTGAATTGAGTTATGCTTTTGAGATAAGTTTCTGCTGAGTTAAGAAAGCCAGGCCAAGGGTTCACTTGGGGCCAGCAATGGTCTCCGAGTGCCGGTCCCGCCCAGGGTGTAGGCTCGGGGCGTGACATGACTGTAAAGTTGTCACGTCAGGTGGTAGGTGAAAAGTGTAGTGTACTGCACCAATAGGAAGAGCGGACAAGACTATATGTTTTAGTGGCTTACAAATGCAAGGATCTGGTCCCAGACAGGTTCTCTCCATTAGGTGCATAATGGGGTACAACTGTAAAGCTATCTTGTCAGTGGTTGGTGAGGCGCCAGCATACTGAACCAATCAGAATGGACGAGGGTGTTTGTCCAACGGGTAATAACTCTTTATGGTTGATATTTTCAACATGACAAATACCATATTAAATTCATTCATTCAAAGGAGGAAGTCAGCCAGCAAGCCTTTTCAAGAACTCACAAAGAACATTGCAAGGGACCTGGTCCCTGCAAGATTGCTTACATGAAAAGGTGACAAGACAGCTGTCAGAAAAGCTGCCACCTCTGATGTGGTAGGTGCATATCCTTTCTAAACAGCAGGCCTTCAGCCAATAGGGTGGTCTCAACGAGTTTGTGTTGATTTTATATAGTCTCTTCTCAAAAGCACAAACTCAAGATTTGGAAAATAAAAACTCAAAAGGTTAAAAGAAAAGGTCATTTTCAAGGAAGACCTCAAGCACAAGAACACATACAGCAAGGACCTGATCAACAGAAGAAGTGATTTTTGTACCTGATGTTGTTCTTGAATGTTTGTATTGAGCTTAACTTGTAGGATTCATTTCATTGTTGTTAGAAACGTTTCAAAACTTGGGTGAATCACTGTAAGAACATTGTTAGGGGTAACTTTGTGTCTTACTGTCAAAAGTCTATATTAATCAGTGAGGGTAATTAGTATAGTGGGCAATGGATGCATTGCTTAGGCTCGTTTAAGTAATAGGTGATATTACTTAGTGTGGAGATTAGCAGGTTAATCTCATGTTGTAAATCGTGTTTTACTTTTTCTTGACAAGATTAGTAAAAAACAGTTCGAAAAGTCCTGTGAGACAGGTCGTGGTTTTACTCCCTTGAGCAAGGAGGTTTCCACGTAAAACTCTTGTGCCTGTTTTACTTTGTGCTATTTACTTTCTGCACTTTTACTTTTACACTGTTATTCTGTCGAGGGACCTGGTCCCGAGATCACTGGTGGACGCGTATATTCCATTAGAACTATTGTGGACTGGGAATGAAGAACAATTGAGATACAATACAGAGTATTATAGTTTCTTTCTTCACTTCCTGATCTCACAGTTAACACTAGTATAAAATTGAATTAGTAGACACACAACCTACATAACAATCCGCGTGACGCTGATCTATATATGAAATAATAAGTCTCCCTTGATATCTTGACTAAATTGAGGAAGAAGAATAGGTAATTGTTCAAGTATATGAAATATTCGAGTGTTTTTTTGTTTAAATTTTGGATAGTTAAAGTGTCTCTTTGTGCACTATCAAAGTTAAAAATCAAAGTTATAATTTGAAGCCAAGTTAAGGGTCCTTTTTGTGTATTATGCCAACTATTATTTTCTCTATCCCAATTTATGTGATGTACTTTCCTCTTTTTAATCTGTAAAAAAAGATTGACAAAATGTATATATACGAAGCGATAACAAATACTCACATACACTTGAATACTCGTATTAATTTCAAGATGATGCAAGATGCAAGATGATACTTTCAGAGTATTTATATACCATCAAAGTATATATAAACTCCGATGGTAACGACAGTGGTTCAATGAATAGAACAATGGGGCAGTCAGGTAAATAGTTTGGGATGTGAGTCCAATCAGGATAAATATATTGAGTTGAGTCTAATTTACATAAATACTTTGCCTAATGAGTCCAATTTGTGTATTTTTCCTTTATTTTTCTAATTTTGATTTGGTACGTAGTTTAAGAAAGTAACGAGAAACTTTTGAATCTTGTACTCCTTAACTAAAATTATGTAGAATGTGCCTAAAATATTCTTTAATCTTGTGGTCTTAAATATGTTAGGTGGAAAGTTAAAATAAAAGAGTTACAAAAAAAATGAAAGATACATTCTTTTTGAAAAAGGCCAAAACGAAAAGTAAGACAAACAAACTAAAACATACAGAGTAATATATACTATTGTTTTCAAAGACCGATGTAAGTCAAGGTATTTTACATTTTCAAAGACCATTGTAAGTCAAGATACTTAACACATTGATGATAGTGCATTTTCCAGGAAACTGTACTTACTAATTGCTTTACCTAAACACAAAGTGTCATTATACTACCTTCGTCCACTTTTAATTGTCATAATTTCTTTTTTTTAGAGTTAAGCTATAAAAACTTTGACTAATATTTTAGGATGTATTTTTTCATCATTTTGATATGCAAAAAATTGCAATTTATTGTACTTTTCGTATATTTTTTTGAATATCTATATATTTTGTTTAAAATATTGAATTGATGTAATCTAATTTAACTTTGAAAATTAGTGAAATTAACTTTTAAAAAATGCAACATGACAAATAAAAGTGGACGGAAAAAGTATATATGTATTATTAATAAACAAAGACAATTACTTTATGCAAACTGGTACCAACGAAGGGATGGCTTAATAAATTAATTTGTTGAAAGACTTGGTTCAACAAAGAGTATACTTTTATTAGTTTGTTCTAAGGCTTTTCGTTCGACTTTGCTCCCAATTTGGTCTTTTAAGTGTAAATTTGTATATCGAATACCAGATCGTTTAAAACATCTTATCTTAACTGATATATATGGGGTCGTTATTAACTCTTCCATACATAATAAATATATATATATACATACTAGATAATGGTGCCCGTGCTATGCACGGGCCCAATAATATAAATTGGTATGTTTTGGGGCTAATAACGGAGTTTTTGAAGCGATTGTGTGCGTGGATAAAGGAATAAGTTTTTTTATCACAAACCTTTTACTTTCTTTGACACTATTTTAAGGCATAATAAGACTACCCACACATTTTTGAAATATTTATGTTGTCAATTGTCATGATTTATAGTATTTTTATGATAGATTCACTTCAAGAATCAGTGGAATTTTTTTTGATTTTTTTTGAAAACATATTTTATGTTGTCAATTATCATGATTTATAGTATTTTTACGCAATTTTTAAATAAAAAAAAACACAAAAAAAAAAATAAGACAAATAAATTAAAATGGACCCAATATATGTTATTTTTGTTGTCTCAATTTATGTGACACAAATAAAATTTGGAGAGTCATCCAAATTTTCATTTTTTTTTTAAAATGTGTTAAGTTATTAATTATTGTGATTTATAATATTTTTATGTAACTTTCAAATAACCTACATTACTGGTCACTTTGTCCTAATTTATGTGATATGGATAAAATTACAAAATTAACCCTTTTAAAATGTCTTTTAGATATTTTAAGTTGTTTAATTCTTATTATTATTTATAATACTTTTTTGATAATTTTAAAATGATATGTGTTATTTTTTTCTGTCCCAATATATGTGAGCCTGATAAAATTCTAAGAGTGAACCTATTTTATTATATAGCTTTTAAATATTTTAATTTGGTAATTATTGTAATTTTTAATGCTTTTTAAGTCATTTGTAAATGATATATGTTGCTTCCTTTGTCCCATTTTTATATAGTATAAATAAAATTCCCAAAACCAACTCAATTTTTAATATATTTTTTAAAATATTTTAAATTATTAATTATTGCAATTTATAATATTAAAAAAATTAAATAGAAGACGTACAAAACTTGTATCAGCCTAAAAAATGACCACAATAATTAGAAGCCTACAGAAAACAATAAGGTTGTACGTAATTTTAAATACTTAATATATATTACTCCGTTTGTCTCAATGTATGCAGCATAGATAAAATTTCAAGAGTCAATCAAATGTTGTTAATTGTTAAGATTTAAAATACTATTTTACATAGTTTTCAATAATTTCACATTAAATAATACATATTACTACTTTTGCCTCATTTTATGTGACATTGATAGATTAATTTTAAGAATCAGTCAATTTTCTTTTTTGTTGTTTTTTAATAAATATTTTAAGTTGTCAATTATCACGATTTATTATATTTTATACATAATTTGTAACGGTAGATTAATTTCAAGAATCAATCGAATTTTTTTATATGTATTTATTTTTGAAATATTTTATGTTGTCAATTATCATGATTTATAGTATTTTACGATAGATACACTTCAAGAATCAGTGGATTTTTTTGTAATTTTTTTTCAAAAACATATTTTATGTTGTCAATTATCATGATTTATAGTATTTATACGCAATTTTTAAATATAAAAAACACAAAAAAAAAGACAAATGAATTAAAATGGACCCAATATATGTTATTTTTGTTGTCTCAATTTATGTGACACAAATAAAATTTGGAGAGTCATCCAAATTTTCATATTTTTTTTAAAAATGTTTTAAGTTATTAATTATTGTGATTAACGGTGTTAAATTGTCCAATAAGTAAAATTTTAAAGGTACAACCATAAAAGAAGAATGTACAACACTATCTAAGCACATGTAACACTTGTCATGTGCTAAGTAGTAGATATTCCCACTTATTATATATAGTAATTTAAAGGTACAACCATAAAAGAAGAGTGCAACACTATCTAAGCACATGTACAACACTATATATATATATATTATATTATTATCATAGCACTATATATAATAAGTGGGAATATCTACTACTTAGCACATGACAAGTGTTGGATGATATGTGCTTAGATAATGTTGTACATTCTTCTTTTATGGTTGTACCTTTAAAATTTATATTATTGGACAATTTAACACCATTAATTACCTACCTCATTTGGGCCCATTTATATATATACTAGATATAATATGCCCGTGCTAACCACGGGCCCGACGAATTGAAATTAATTATTTGTATTACAAAGTTGTAAGGAGTGTAAATTTATATTTACAAAGATACTATAATAGTGCCTCAGTTATGGAGGAATAATGTCCATAGCCCTTTCCTGTTTGTTGAAAGTTTAACTAAAATAAGAAACAAATTTTTTACAACAATTGATTGATAAGAAAAAGTAAACAAACAATATAGATTGCTGACCGGATACAACTCTAGCTTTATTTCAACCGTTGCATCTTATTCAAACTGCACAATATGAATAAATGCATTAATGATCACCTAGTTAAGCTACCAAAAATTTGATAAACAGTTCAACACACAATCACTGGAAAACATATCTAGGTCAATTCACCACTTGTATTTTCAAGAAAATAATATAATTAATCAAATAACATGCTCAAAATATATCTCAAACTAAATTTATTAAAACTTGTCTACTGAAAAAATAAAGCAGGGATAAAGACAACATTGTTAGTTCAGTACATAGCCACTTGAAACTTTGTTTCGAATCATCAATAAATAATACGTATCATCAAAAATGATTTACTATTCAAATTGATGGGTTTGAAACGTATAGTAACTTTTAAGCAACCGTTATATAGGCATGAAGCTACCTGTTCACAAAATTTCAGTACCATGACAATTTGCAACATTTTTCGTAGTCTTCATGGGTGAATCTTAGATCAGGTGTATTGTGCACTTTCAATTCAATTTCAGTATTATCCTTAAAATCTGAAAGGATCTAAGTACTTGTTCCTTAGGTTCATAAGATCAATAGTAGTGACAACATTCAAGTATATTAATGTAATCCAAGGTGAATGTCTAAAAATAAAAGAAAATAACAAGAAGAGAAAATTTCGATACACATCTTACATCTAAGCTTCTAATGTAGAAACATTATAACAAAAAAAATTGAATTGGTGAGCAGATGAAGATTCAGATAGCGACAAGATGATCATAATCAAAGTAGAAAATATAATGTGAATAGATTATGGAAATGTCACCTTGGTATTGTTATTGTTAAAGAATTTAACAACAGGATAGTCGTTAGGGTCCTCTTTAAATATATATAACTACAATAAAAACAATTGTTCCTTTAACTAATTTTGCCAAGGTATCCACAACAAAATCCTAAAAGCATGTAAGATTATTGATTAAAACTTTACCTGATATCTCAAAAAAGTAACAGAAGAACCATACAAATATCTAATACCAGAAAATCTACACAAAGTTCATCAAAAAGCTTGAATAACTAAATAACAGGGCAAGAAGGTGATGAATTTGGCCACGAGGAAGGAGCTGTGAAGTTCTCAAATTTAAAGTTGTACAATAAGAGGAAGAACTTTCAAATGATGCGTAGGTAAAATGTCTCAAGGAAAAAATAAATAAAAAAACAAAAATCTAAAAGATAAACCTCAAAATACAATAAGCATGAAAGTTTAGACACTGCAAACTATAGATTAGCTTGACCAATCACAATATGGCACTTTAGATTAAATCTATTTTATTGAAACCATAAGAATAGATATTAAGCCTACTTTTATTCAATGCATTTTTATTTTCTAATATCTCTGTGTTCTTGACGATTTATATTTATAAAAAAGAAAAATATCAACTTAATTGATGTCATATAGCTGACCTCTGAAAAAACCCTCATGATTTATCGCAATAACATGTAGTAGTATAACATAAAGCAATACTGGCGGATCAATTAAAATAAGGACTCTAGATTAGCCAAGTCCCGTAAAGGAGGTACATCCAATCGAGTTAAAGATTATGCATCATTGCAGTATGCAGCTAATCCATTAGGAAATGTGAGGATACATAGCTCCTGGATTGTGAATGATACATTACTTAATTAATGGGAGGAATGTATACAAAAGGAGAGAGATATGTATCTAAGAAGGGATAGAGATATATCTGAGAGGTTATTTTTGTAATTTTTAAAGTAGAATATTTTAGAGCTTATGATATTTTAAGTTATAGTAATTTTCTTGAAAATAAAAAGTAGCATGCCCATTTTATGATTTATGTCCTTTGTGCAAGTTAAAGTCTTGCTCTTGATGGGAGTAGTGCATTTTGTCAATGCACACGTTGAAATATTATGATAAAATAATTGATATTTTAGATTTGACTAAAATGCCCTCATTAATTTTGATTTTCTTTGCATTTTTTTTAATTAAATTTTTTCTTTGCATTTTAGGTTTAACAATAAATATCATTAATTTTGTACATTGAATTAGGAATGTATTACCCTTCGGGGTGGCCCAGTGGTTTGGGCTTGGGACTTTCATGTTGGAGGTCTCAAGTTCAAAATCCCTTGCTTGCGAAAGCAAAGGGTTTGCCTTCTGGGTCGAGCTCGTCGCACCGGGTTTTCCTAGTGCGGGTTACCTCGCCTATGTGGTTTGCAAGCTATTGCATAGGAGCGGGGGTTTTACCCTGTGCGCACCCAAAGGGTAGCGGCTGCGGGTTTCCATTGTCATAAAAAAAAATGTGACTCAAGAGTTGAGAAAATGCATAATACATTTTTGAGGATCTGGGAACCTCATCACTGTTTGTACTTTTAAGTTCAAATTGTGTAAATACTCTAATGGTCCAATGTTTTATATTTATAAGAGCTCACTTATAGATGCTCCAAGTGCATAGTTTCCAAAAAAACTTAAGAAGTCTAATAAGTAGAGAATGAAAGAATAGAACATTTTATTTGGTGGTGACACAAAGGAGAAGCATGTTCTAAGCACAGATCCGGCATATTAAATGTAACATCTCGAGGAGGACTAAGAACATTCCAACTTTAATCTTAAAACAAAAATGTAAGTCATATAAATAAAATAGCTTATCCAATGATCAACAGTATATGTTAACTATCTTATCCATCCTAAAATACATTTGTGGACATCTAGCATATATTCTCATCAAAAGTCACTCTCTTACAACAGGTATTTCTAAAACTTTTAAATGTAAAATATACATGGACCTTTTGATGTTTCAACTCAACAGCTTCCAACAACTTCAAATATTACGTAGAAATAGTGTTTCTCTCACATTCACAACACAATGAGCATTAGAACTTGTACCATGACATAGCCAAAGCAGGGAATTACTTGCATGTATAAGGAAAAATAGAAATATAAGATGCAGCATAGTTGGTTTAGACATCTAGGATATTTAGTAGTAGTAAATTCATTCAATAACAACTTTCAAGCAGCGATCTACTCCATTTACCATTCTAATTATAAAATTCAGGGCCATAGCGTTAAAGGGTATACATTTAAAAAAATCAAAAGTTCAGTATCATTAACTCCTTGAGTTTCTACCACTACCTACCTGTACATGACATATATAAGCTTAGCTTTTAAAATCTTGGCTACATATTCAAAAATAAGTAGGAATACTATCAGTTACTTGTTTGAACTTAAATAAAAATATGTGTTCAACTAAACTCATAAAGAGTTATGGAGAAGGATTTCTTACTAAGTTACTTTGGAATGCATCGTCGAGAGGCTTATACCAACTGTATTTGCAGTATGGCTGATTGCAGTTCTTCGAAAGATACTCAACTGATCATTTTGTAGGAGAAGCATCTGAAAAATTGTTATGCATTTATAGATATTGTTGCTCGTAGATAATGGTATTACCATATCGCCTGAAGAATGGTGCTTCCCTATTGAAAAATTTCAGGAAAAAAAAGCAATATATCTGAGAATTTTTTAGATATTAGGTGACATTCTATAAGTTCTTCAGCAATGACGCTTGACAACTAAATGTACTCGAGATTTTCTTAGCAATTTTGTTCTGCTTGTTAGAGCCTAATATCAAGAAAAATGAATCATGAAAACTACAAATTTTTACACATGTAAAAAACAAATAAGACCAACTAACAATATGATTAAAACGTGGCAGTGAAATGTGTTGAATGAAAAAAAAGAAGCAAAAACTTAGTCTAGATCGTTAATTCAGAGTCTTATAATATTTGTTTTTCTTGCTGGTACAAAACAAGCAGTGACTTTATCAAAACTTGCATACATAACATATGAAAGTCAATAAGCAATTTTTAGTTATATATGAAAGTCAATAAGCAATTTTTAGTTTAAAATTTCCATCATTCATCCCTGATCTAAGTTGCGGACTTTTCACTTTCGATGCCGCACCCATGTCGAATTCTTCAAAAATGCACTACTTTTGGCGAATCCGACACGCACCTCTTGACCTCTTGACATTTTTAAAGAGTCCGAGCAACATAGTCTTGGATTATGAGACATGACAAGCATAAATACCCATGGATCTTAAAATCATTTATCACCTCTATACAACCATAAGAAAGTAAAAGAGAGAGATAAAAAGTTAGGATAAGAAATTGTACCAATATTGTAATGCATGAACTATGAATGTTCAACATAGGCAAACTAATCACCTTTGCATTCTTAGAAAATCACTATCAAACTGTTATCAAGTGTATTTATTTGACCCTCAAATTTATTCATATAGTTAAATAAGTGTATCTTAGAAAGTAAATTAGTATCAACTAAGTCGAGAAGTTGTCTGTCGGTAGTCATTTCGAGACTCTAATGTTTGAACCTCTAAAAATGAAATTGGAAGCTGAAATTGGAACATTGTCCTAATAGCATGATCTTGTGGATTCTCTCGTCAAATATTTTTATGACCGAGAAACTACTGAGATAATGGATTTATCACAATGTTGTTATTCACTTAAATACAAAATTTGATATAACACCCAAACTTCAAACGTGCGATGTACACCTAACACATTTTCGCGTTCCACATAGCACAACATTTACTGTTGAACCAAACCCCTAGAACATGGGATTCTTTTGGCATTCACCAGTCATTTTTAAAAAAAATAAACTGATTGTTGTTTTATCATAGGTACTCTTTTTATAGATCAACTAATTTAGT